CTTGAATAATGTTATATACAATTTCGTTAAAACATTTTTGGAGCTAACCATTACGCTAACGTAGCTAAGATAGCAGGGGTAAGCAAATATAGCTACATTTGATTCAAGTAACTTACCTTTTCCTCTCATAGAACTTTTCTCAATGACACTTCAAACCTATAGAAACAGAAATCTCTTGCTTTCATTGTTTTAATCTCTCCCCTTGTGGTAATACTTCTTGCACATTTCACCCAACTAAAATAATCTACATAAAAATAAATAACAAGAGAATATTAAAAACAAAATCATTTATCAAGTTTGAAAATAAATATATAAACAAATAAAATTTAGGTTAAATACAAATGATTTGACGTAATTTGTTAATATACAAATAGTTTTAATATTATTTGTTTTATAACCAAAATTATACAAGTTACTATTGTCATAGTGTTAGGGCCTATATTTAGGGTGTAGATTATATAGATAACGGGCCTAGTTCATGAGCTCTAATCTCTTGCATATATACACTACTCATATTGTAATACAAACTACGGAAAATCATTTCCTGACATGGTATCGGAGTCAATCAATTTCTAAAAATTCCTGGTTCGAATTTCTAATTCGATTTTTTGCTTCGAACATCTAGTCTCTAATTTTTTTTGTGGTTGCCTCGAGTGGTATTCTTTGGACCCTAATTTCTGTTCTACTGCTTCGAATTCCTTAGCTTCTCATTGATCGATACTAGTGAATTACCCTACTACTATGACTTCTTCTATTACTCCTAAACGCAAGTCGAATCTCTATTGCACTTGATGTAATCGTACGGGTTACAATTACGATGGTTGTTTTCTTGTTCATGGCTTACCCGAATGGTGGCTGAAAAAATATGGTAACCAATCCAAACCTGATGCTTCTACTCTACATGCTGCCTCTATGTCGCAAGTCTTGCCTTGTGGTTCTGCTTCTACTCTTCTGCTCGCTGCTACTGATGCGCTACCTGCTGCTGTGCTTGCTCTGCCTTCTGCCCTGCCTGGTGCTATTATACAGCCTGTTGGCTCGTCTCTCGCAGCTGATTCTGCCTCGGCTTCTGTCTCTACTGTTGGTGGTGGTTCTGCCACCCATTCTTCTGCCCCGTATGCTATTGCCTACACTAATGTGGTGTCTGCTGTTATACCGGTTCATGCTATGGCAGCAACTTTCTCCACTGCTTCCTCGTCACCCATGAGGGTTGGTGATTATTGTTCTTCATCTTGGATTATTGACATAGGTCCCTCTCATCATGTAACGGGTGACGAGTCCTCTCTAATTGACATTCAATCTATTCATCCATGCCCCGTTGGTCTTCCCGACGGAGCTCAAGCCTTTGCTATAAAGGAGGGTCATGTTTTCCTGGCGGATGGAATTATTCTTGAACATGTGTTATATGTTCCTCAATTACATTGCAATTTGATATCGGTCTCAAAATTAATTGATGACTCTCTTTGTTATGTATGATTCACTAATTCTTTATGTGCTATACAGGATCAAATTTCGGGGAGCCTGATTGGTGGCGGTGAACGAATAGATGGACTCTACTATTTCCGGCGTCTCCCAAAAGTATGTGCGATCACGAGTTCGGAGGTCTCAACATTTGAGTTGTGGCATCGTCGTTTGGGGCATCCGTCGGAGAAAATTGTCAAATTGCTTCCTGCTATTCGAGGTAAAACTAGTACTAAGTGTTTACATAAAGCTTGTGAAATTTGTCCTCTAGCTAAACAAACCTGAGACAGTTTTCCGGATAGTGATAGTCGTGCTAGTTGTATTCTTGAAATGATACATTGTGATTTGTGGGGACCATATAAGACGGCTTCTACTTGTGGTGCTCATTATTTTTTGACGATTGTTGATGATTTTTCCCGTGGTGTTTGGGTTTACTTATTAAATGACAAAACTGAAGTTTATTCTTCTTTTTTCTCTTTCTTTGCTATGGTTAAATGTCAATTTTATGTCAACGTTAAATGTGTGCGGAGTGACAATGGCACATAATTCAAACCCATGATCCCATATTTTACTGAAAATGGCATTCCTTTTCAAAACCTCTTGTGTCGGCACACCTCAACAAAATGGTCGGGTAGAGCGTAAGCATCAACATATTTTGAATGTGAGTAGAGCATTGATGTTTCAAGGGAATTTGCCGATTGAGGTTTGGGGTGAATGTGTTCTTAGTGCAGTGTATTTAATTAACCGCACTACATCTCGTCTACTTGACAATCAAACTCCATTTGAAATTTTCTTTGGCAAAGAGCTTCATTATGATGAATTACGTGTCTTTGGGTGCCTTTGTTTTGCTCATAAACAAAAAGCAAATGGTGACAAGTTTGCTCCTAGGAATCGAAAGTGTGTTTTTCTTGGCTATCCACATGGGAAAAAAGGGTGGAAATTATATGATTTTGAGATGGGTGATATTTTTGTGTCACGTGATGTGCGATTTCATGAGACAGAATTTCCATTTGATACACAAAAGCAGTCCGAAAATACAGAACACAAAAATGACTTGATTCGAATTTCTTGGATGACTTGGAGCATGTTTTGGAGGTGGGTGAGACCTCCCTTGACCACGATATTTCTCAAGAACAATCTCCCATCCCTTATGCTCAATTAGACGCTGCCAATGCTACTTCTAGCAGGCTGGATCGCAGCCCACCTGCACTGTCTGCCACTGATCGCAACCATGCTGCGGTTGCCCCTATTTCTGCTTCTGCCTGCACCTCTACCACCGCTTCCGCTACTGCCTGCACCTCTGCCACAGCTGCCCCCACCTCTGCCAGCACAGCTGGAGTTGCTGCCAGCTAGGGCTGTGCACTGGTCCAAAACCGAACCGGACCGGAACCCGGAATCGGATTTTTTGGGGGACCAGGACCGGACCGTAATCAATAGGTCCGGGTTCCGGTCCAGACCTGTTTATTCCGGTCCGGTCCGGTTTTGGACCGAAATGGACTGGTTACATTATTTTTTTATTTTTCTTTTTCATTTTAGTATCTTAATATATACATACATTTTTAATGTCTTGTTTTTGTTTGCATGTTTTCCTATTTTTCACCTAAAATTTATAAATTACAAGTTTGTACCTAAATTTTTAGAAATTTAAACATAAATTTAAAAATTTAACCCAAAAAATTACAAAAATACACATTCCGGTCCTTTCCGGTATATTTCGGTTTTTACCCGGACCGGAAACCCGGAATCCCCAATTTGTGAGGACCGAAGACCGGTCCGGGCCTGTCCGGTCCAATTCCGGTCCGGGCGGTTTTTTGGTCCAGGTCCATTTCTGCACACCCCTACTGCCAGCACTGGTGCTGCCTCGGACAGCAGCCCCATGGCTGGTTTGAGCCTCTCTTCTTCTTCTTCTTCTATTAATTTGGGTCGTGGTCAGCGTGATCGACATCCTTCGGGTTGGCATCGTGACTATGTTGCACATAATATATCTCTTTCGAGTCCATCTATCACTCCAAGTTCACCTCCTCATCCGAGCTCCTCAGGTACTCCCTATTCTTTAGCACATTTTGTGAATTGTGATAAATTTTCTGGGCGACACCGTGTGTTTATTGCAGCTATTGATATGGTGGTTGAGCCGCGTAATTTCAAAGAGGCAATGCAAGATGAGGGGTGGAAAGAGGCAATGCAAAAAGAAATTGATGCATTGGAAAATAATGGTACATGGGTGCTTGAAAAATTACCTCCGGGTAAGAAAGTTCTTGGATGTAGATGGGTTTACTAGGTCAAGCTTAACTCTGACGGCACACTTGAGCGATTGAAGGCTCGTCTGGTTATATTTGGTAATCATCAGGTTGAGGGTATTGATTATACAGAGACTTTTGCTCCATTTGCTAAAATGGTAACAGTTCATGCTTTTCTTGCTGTTGTTGCTAGGGGTGTATATAAATAGGACCGGACCTGAAAATCGACCTGATCCAGACTTGTTGGGACCGGACCTGACCCGGACCTGTAGATTCAGGTCCGGTCCCGGTCCTTGGAATTCAAGGTTTCCGGTCCCGGTCCGGATCAGGTCCAAAACCGGGGTTTTCAGGTCTGGACCTGAAACCCGGTAAAATTGAGTTTTTTTTTTTAAATAAAAATAAAAACAGCTTTTTTTTTTTCAAATATCAATTTGATTTCTAACCATACTCCCTCACTCTCTAACTCTCTCAGCCGACACCCTCTCAAGGCCTTAATCTCGCACGCTGCACACCCTGCCTCGGCTGCACGCTTCCCTTAGGCGACCACCAGACACTAGGCGCCCACCGCAAAACCCCCCTGCATATTGCATCAGCCACCACGCGCGAACTCCACGGTAACCAGATCACACGATTGCAGAAACCATGGCCACCGCGGCTCCAAATCGAACGTAACCAACGACCGCAACCACCAGATCGAACGCGTAGCTCTAGCGATTGCGAGATTCGCGACCACGAGAACGCATGATTTCAACGACCAACGATCACCATATATGGGCTTAAAGGTCTTGTGCAGTGGTTCCTGCTAAGAGTGTTACCTGCTTCCTATTGTTTTTTTTCTTTTATTTTTTGTTTTAATTTCTAGGTTGCATTTGAAATTATATTTTTTTTTAAAGAAGAATCTAAAACTGAAATTAATATTAAACATCATTATAAAGCTGTTGAATTTGTTTAACATGTATTTTTTTAATTTTCAAATTGATTTTTTTAAGTAAAAAAAAAAAGAAAGAAAAAGGTCCAATCAGGTCCAAAACCGGACTGGACCTGTTTTTTCCAGGTCTGGTTTGGAAGCGGACCTGTTGATTCAGGTCCGGTCCCCGGTCCTCGAAAAATAGAGATTCAGGTCCCGGTCTCAACATGTCCGATCCAGGTCCGGTCCGGTTTTGGACCGGTGTACAGCCCTAGTTGCTGCTGTAAAGTATTGGGAATTGCATTAGATGGATGTCCACAATGCATTCCTTCATGGTGATCTTGATGAGGAAGTTTATATGAAGCCTCCCCCATAGGTTTCATGTCTCTCAACCTGGTATGGTGTGTCGCCTTCGAAAGTCGTTGTACGGACTTTGCCAAGAACCGCGTTGTTGGTTCTCTAAGTTATCCACATCTCTGAAAAGGTACGGATTTTTGCAATCGTACTCTGATTACTCTCATTTTACTCTGCAAACTGGGTCTATTCAACTTATTGTTCTGGTGTATGATGATGACTTAATAATATCTGGCAATGATTCTTCTACAATTGCAACATTCAAATCTTATTTGAGTGATTGTTTTCATATGAAAGATTTGGGTGTGTTGAAGTATTTTCTTGGCATTGAGGTTGCACGGAGTCCGGAAGGCATATTTTTATGTCAACGGAAGTACACACTTGATATTATTGCAGAGCCTGGCTTGCTAGGGGCACGTCCGGCAAGTACTCCTATTGAGCAGAATCATACTCTAGCAAAATTCGAGTCCTCTATTCTTTCTGATCCGGAAATGTATCGGCGACTTATGGGTCGTTTGATTTATTTGTCTTTTACTCGACCTGATTTGGCTTATGCGGTGCATATCTTATCTCAATTTATGCAACAACCGCGACAGGATCATTGGGAGGCCGCCCTTCGTACGGTGCGATACTTGAAAGGATGTCCTGGTCAGGGGATCTTATTTAGTTCAGATTGTGATTTACATATTACTGATTGGTGTGATTCGGATTGGGTTAGTTGCCCTTTGACAAGGCGATCTATTTCTGGTTGGTTAGTGTAGGGAATAGATTTCAAGCATTATTCCCCTAGCTTGAACCCCATTGTGTTCATACACTAAAGTACGGTGGCGTCTAAAAGGAAAGAAGATAGAGTAAAAGAGTCGCCAACAAGTGTTTTTTAGGAACTTGTAAACCGTTCACGAGGTGAAGGTTACACCCCTTAACGATCCAAGAGATCGTCAACTCCATAAGGTCTAGAGCCAAATAAGGGTTTGGGGATGAAGGTACAAATCCAACCTAAAAGAGATTGAACCTGCCCTAATAATAGGCCTCTACTTTATTCTGATCGTATTCATGTGCGCTTCCTGATTAACATGCAATTAATAGGATTAACCCTAAACCTGTTTAATCTATGTTGGTTGAATATTAATGCACAAATAAAACTATTATTGGCGATCACTTGAATTATAATCACATTAACCCTAAACAAGATTATTAATTATCTTATTAAGCATGATTATAAGTACCAATTCCCTTTAAACATGCATAAAAGGCGTGATCAAGCAATAACAATAAATATAACAACATAATAGTAAATAGTAATAATAATAATCATAAAAATAATAAGCATAATCATGTTAAAGCATAATAGCAATAGCAAGATCCTTGGCATGATACTAATAAGATTAATAACAAAACCTAGCATGTCACTAAGCAATAAAAATCAAAGCTTTAACCCTAACATGATACTAACATGAATATTAGGAAAGAAAACAAGATATCGCAGGAATCACAATTGTCATATTTGATATTAAAGTTACCCTAAACATGATACTAGGAAGATCAAAACGCCCTAACATGACACTAGGAATCATAATAAGAACCTAGACATGATTTCTATATCATAATAACAATGAAACCAATTAAAGCACTTACTTGGATGTCTCGTACCTCTTTCTAATAACAAAATACACGCGTTAGTAACTTCAAGGAAAATAATAATCCAACAATTAAATTAAATAATTGAAAGAGATTTGGGACCAAACCCTCAGAAATTAAACCTTTCACGTCTAGGGCGAAGGCAACTTCGAATATGGCTAGGTGTTTCTAGATCTAATGAATGCGGAATTTTGTATATAAAAACAAAGTTTAGAGAAAAAAGAATTGATGAATGATTGATTAAAGAGAACGAATTGAATGAAAACTGATTGTAGGCGAATGATAATTAAAACTGATTGTTGATGAGAATTGGTGAGAATTGGTGTATGAAAACGGAGTTTTTAATACGTTATTTATATAGAAATCAGCCAAAAAGATAAAATATAAAAACAGAGCACTTGGCGCACACAAAACGAGGTTGGCGCACGCAAAACAGAGCTGGCGCCAGAACCAACTAATTGGTGCCAGGCACCAATGGCTAGCACCAGGCGCCAATGGCTGGCGCCAGGCGCCAGGCCTGGTTCCAGGCGCCAATGCCTGGAGTCAGGCGCCAGGCCTGTTTTGGACGCATTTTAAAAAATCAAATAAGTTTGCCGTACTGGAGGATAAAATCGTATATTTTCCTCAAAAATGCTATTTGATTTTAATTAAAACTCTGAAAAGTCAACAAAAGTCAATTTATCAATGCTAATTGAATTAGGAATGAAGAGAACCTTCTAGAAGAATCTAGAAAACTAAAACCATTCCTAATTGCATTAGGAATGATAAATCATATTAGGCCCTCCCCTAGATCATTGGGCCGTATATAAGGCTCAAACCGGGCCCAGTTTAGTAAATTGGCCATAAGTTCCTCAATATTCATCGGAATTGGGCTTATAATATATAGTTGGAAAGCTCTTGTCAAGCCCCATCCAATTACATTACTATCGGACCCATATCATGGACCAACCAAATTGGATTGGCTGTTTTCTTAAAATAAGTTTTCAAAAACAGAGAGAAGAGAAAAGAAATTAAAACTATCCGCAACACTAAACTTTCCACACTTTCGCTTCATTCGATTATGATTCGACGTCAAAGGTACTCATCACCGGGTTTGGTTTTTAGGGAGACACAATCTACAGAAGCCCCCACTTTGACTGAGTTTGGAGAAACGCAAGTTTCAAAAACAAAAGTCAAAGTATCTATAGGGACGGAGAATGACTCAGAACGTTCTGCGATCCTAAATCACTCTTGTAACGCCGATACCTGCAAAACTAGCATTAGTTAAATAGATAAAAGAGTTAAGAAACGAGTATCTTGCACCGCCGAGCACACGTCTCTGAAAGTAACCGATTTGCTGTTGTGTCCTTGTTGTTTTGATGACCTCCTGCAAGCTAGAGAATGTCATCCCGCTTGAAAACCGCTACGCCTGTAACTGCTTCCAAATTGGAAGATTGCTTCGCTTGAAACGATCCTCCTCCGCTATGATAATATTCCACATCCAAGGGAATACTATCGAAGATTGCTTCTCTTGAAACAATCCTCAGTTGTTTGTGACAACTCTACATAATCTAGGGAACACCACCTTGCTGTTTCGATGTTCACCCGTCTCTGAACAAAGAGCTTCTTTTTGATATGTTCACGCGTCTCTGAACAAAGAGCTTCTTTTTTATATGACTCCAATTTCCGCTGTGATAGTCTTCGAAAAGATCACTGCTTCTTAATGTTTGCTATGCCAGTACGTCGGCGCTTTGCTGCTTGTGAACCAGTATGTCGACAATCCTCTTTTATTTGGGAATAGTTGCCAACACAACTCTTGTGTAATGTATGACAATCCGATTTTGGGAAAGGTGTCAATGCCACGTAACAATCCATCCTTGGAAATGTTGCCACGATGAAGCGACAATCCGTATCTCGGAAAATTTGCCAAAATCCAATCTTTGGAAAAGTTGCCAATGCTTCGTAACAATCTTTCATAAGAACTTTGCTACGATCGACAATCCATGTCTTGGAATATAACTCTTGAAAGCAATCCGCCTTGGAAATTTGCCAACTCTATGCGACAATCCTTTTGTGAAAATATTGCCACTATTGACAACCCGCGTCTTGGAACATTTGCAAAATAGAGTCGACCGACAATCCACTTCGAGAAAATTTGCCACTTGCTGAAGACAATCCACGTTGAGGAACTTTTGCCGAAATTTATGATGAGTAGAGACCTACGACAATCCTTTGGAAATTTTTCCATAGGGAACTGGGTGTATGACAATCCAATCTCGGAAAACTTGCCAGCGATCTATGAATGTATGACAATCCAAACTTGGAAAAACTTGCCAAACAAAGAAGGAGCACGACAATCCACGCTCGGAAACTTTGCCAGAGATGACAATCCAATCTTGGAAAAATTGTCGTTGAATATGAATGCGCGACAATCCATATTTGGAAATATTGTCGTTTAAGTGCTTGCTTTTGAACCGATTGTAATGAGCCAGTGTTTTAGGCCCTTAAGCTAAGTGAGATGATTTTTTGCCAGATCAATCACTTACTACGATTGTAATCAAGCCGACTACTAATCATGTCAAATTGCTTATAGGGGCTAACTGGCGTACCAAGGAACCCGAAATTGCTGCATGAGGTCGAAATCACCTTTCTGAGAGGCTTCGAGCTCTGTCGTTACTGAAAAGATCTAGCGCCAGGTGCTGGAGTAGGGTCTTCCCTTTTCTGCTGCACCTGTATTTATTTTGACTATAGAACTTTGCCAATCTTTTTAATTATCTTAGGTTTGACCTAAGGTTTAGCGTTGCTTGACTCATTGACTTGACACGACTCAAGGTATAAACTTGATTCACTGTGATTGACTCGACTCAAAGAGTTTGACACATGTGTTAGACTCAAATCAAAGTGATATGACACGACATGACTAAATGTGTACATGACTCGTGTGTGCATTGTAATGTGATCGTGCGACTCGAAAATGCAAAAAAGCAAAAATTTCCGTCATTTCTGTGGAGGGTACCGACTTTCTCCCGAAAAAGAAAGACGCGAAAAAAGAATCGAAGTTTTCGAATGCATGTTGAATGAGCTTAGTCAAATGTTTTTTGATACTATCTCTCAAGGTTCAATGATTAACCCATCCTAGGCTATCTCAATGGTTGACTCAATGATGAAAGCATTTGGGTAACTTAGGCACGGAGGCTAAGCACTTCATACTTCGTGATGCAATGACAATTATGATTGATGAGCGATTTTGATATGATAAGGCATGCTTCAGCGTTGTGTTAAGATTCCATGACAAAGGGTTCCTAAGGGAAGTATTTGGTCATGTATCTATGATGTGTGTGATAGTGACACTAAAGTTAGGCCACAAGAGCTAAGTGTGTGGATAAATATATTGAAAAGAGTCAAATGGTGGTGACTCTTAGGCTAGGTAAGCTAATGATTTAGGGATCAAGCCCCCAAGTCTAGCTCTAAGTGAAAAGGGATGAGCATAGGAAATCCCTTGATATGATCATGGTGTAAGTGTGTGAATGTGAATATGAATGCATGTTTATTACGGCCGCACCTCGATGTGAGGTTTCCTACGTATCCGTTAGAAATCAGGCCGAACGTAGCTCTAGACGAACCTCGCACAAGTGTGTGTATACCTCAAAAAGGTCTTTTTAAGGGTTGTAACGTGGTTAGGCTAAAGGGTTGAAGAAGAAGTAGATAAAGGCTCAAGACCCTAGATAAGCCCCCAAGGTGTGCAACCTCGCTTATGAATCTTTATATTTTTATGCTTGAGTTTCTACTCTTTTTTAGCTCACTTTTATCTTTTTCTTTAGCATCTATTTTATTTTCATAAGTGTGGGAAATCCCGATCATGCGGTCTATCACTCACTTGGCATTCATGTTTCTCAGGCACAGTACCGAGCACTCGATAAGAGACGCAATCTGAGACGTGTTCATATCAAAGACATTGGAACACTTGCCCTTTTTTACACTTTTATTTATTTTTTATTTTTATTTTATTTTGATCTTTTGAAATCACTCAAGCTTTTTTTAGAATTGCATAAGTTACACACCATCCCTCCCAAGATTAGGTAGATGTAGGTTGAAAAAAGAAAGGTGTATCGTTAGACGAGGCTCAAAGTGGTTTATGAAAAAA